AGAACACTGGACTTGATAACTGTTAAACATGGAGACTATGTAATACTGGGAAAAGTACTGTTTCTCTGTAAATGAATCAAATGTTGTTAAAACCAATGTTAACACTCTCAAAACTTTGTAATCTATTTGGCTTAGCAATTCCTTGTTTTGCATGGCTCCTATTCCCTGTTGCCCTCTGATAATACTGTGTATTGCACTTGCTCACTGTTTTAAGATTTCTTTGCTGAACAGTTACTGCTATTTGCTAAAAATCACTACAAGAAACAGGTCATGGTCAGTTATCAAACCTTGGATTTTCCCGAGATGAAATGAGTTGGCTCTTAGGGCTGGCGATGGCACTTCTTCATATTTAAATCAAAAGAGGAGGAGATGTTGGGGGCCTCTGTTATGTGAAGTAGAAGTCTCTTCATATCCGGATAGCTCACGAGAGCAGGGTGCCTTCCTGGCTTTTTTCCTGACTCTCCTTTTGAAGTGCCCGCCACAAATGCCATAACATAAACATGGCCTCTGGCTCTAGGAATACCATGCTTTCCTGTGTGATTTTTCAGGTAGTCAACAGTCTGGCAGCATGGCAGAAATCCACTTCCATACACAAATAGAATGTCTCACAAAGTATCTATCAGCTAAAGCTTTTACCACTACCCCCATGGTATAAATATCCCAGTCTTTCAGTATCAGAGAGCTGGGTCACAGAGAGCTGGATTACTTGAAGCTACACTTAATAAAGCTGTGACACGGGCTAAGCCGAGTCTTGAGTCTTGTGTCTTACTACCAGCGACCCAGCCTCTCCAGGGGGCGCATTCCTCTGTCACCGACTTGCGGACACCCTAGCTTTCGCCGTCCTCGTACTCTTCCCACATGGTTCAGTGGCCAGTGGACCTCGCATCCTGAGGAAAGTACACGGGTGAAATAAGGACGGGACCGGCTGAGTAGACCTCAGCAGCAGAGGGACTTTTCAGCACCAAAAAGCAGCGAACAGGGACCCGCCCACCGCCGCGGCCAGCCGCCGCATCCAAGAGACGCGAGCCGCGGTGCCACAGGACGCGGCCCGCCGGAGAAGCCTGCGGGACATGGCCAGGCCCACCGTGCCGTTTCCAGGGTGCGCAGAGAGCCCAGCGCGCACTATAGTGGCCTATTGGGTCCCTTTCCTTAACTGACACCCATTAAATTTCTATACCCAGCTAAACCGTCCAGGGAGTGGGGGGGTAGAATAAACACATTGGTAGCTGTACACAGGCCTAGACATTCTGCCTTCCATGCATCCTTTCTCAGGAAGCTTTACTTGGGCACGATCCAAAAATGGTGTACCCTTGGAAAACAGGAGCACTAAACAGGAGGAGGGTGAAGATAGTCTCAGTCATCAGGAAGTTAGGGAAATAAGTGCCAGAATTGCTCCTGGAAAGGCCTAATACAGACCACAGATAAAGGCTTTCAACAGCTGGCTTGGGTTATGTTTGTTTTTGAGACAGTCTGGTATAGCCCAGGCTGGCTTCAAACCTAACTATGTAGCTAAGTCCTGCCTTCACCTCCCTAGTGCTGGGGATTACAGGCAGGCAGATCTCTGAGTTCAAGACCAGCCTGGTCTACATAGTTCCAGGACAGCTGGGGCTACAGGGAGACCCTTTCTCAAAAAGACAAAAAAATAAAATTACTGAGTTTAAGGAGCTGGACACAGTGTCAAGTGACATGTCCATATAATCTCAAATATTATAGGGTCACAGGTTCCAGCTTAGCTGGAGCAGCAGACAGATCCTATCTCCAAAAGTGTGTGGGGGAGTTAATTGTATTACATCTTGACCCTGGAGATAGATCTCTTTTTACTTTTTTTTGGGGGGGGGTCTTTTTGAGACAGGGTCCCCCTGTCCTAGATTCACTATGGAGACCAGGCTGGCCTCGATCCCCCTGCCTCTGCCTCCCAAGTGCTGGGATTAAAGGCATGTGCCACCACACCCGGCTAGATCTCTTTTGTAGTCTCTGAATATTCTGTAAAGAACAAACTACTGGTCTACCGTCAGAGTGAGAGATGAGAGGAAGTGGAAGGGAGGGAAGAGAGGGGATGGGAAGGGAAGGAATATGGTGACATGAGCCTATAATCCAAGCACTTGGGAATCTGAGGCAGAAGAACTGCTGAGAGCTTGAGGCCATCCTGGGCTACATAGTGCGATTCTATTTCTCAAGAGGAGAGCAGAAGCATGGTGGCTCACACCTGTAATTCCAGCTCTTGGGAGGTGCAGGCAGGAGGATCATAAGTTCAAGACCATCCTTGATTATGCACCCAGTTTGAGGCCAGCCTGGGCTACATGAAATCCTGTCTTAAGAAAAAAGAAAAAGACAGGGAGGAAAAGAACAACAGTTATTCATCCTTGAGTATTTGGCAGCCGCTTTTCTTAAAAATGAAATTAGCCTACCAGGTTAAACAACTAACAGCATTTGCTACACACACACACACACACACAACTGTTTTAAGCTGGGTATGAGGGCTCATATGTGTAATCCCAGCATGCAGAAGACTGAAGCAGAAGAATGAGGGCCAGCCTGCACTATCTGAGACCATGCCTCAGAACAACAAAAACATGGCAAGCTTAACAAGGAAATATTCAGAACTATAACCAAATGTGAGCAAAATCAAAAAGCAACAGAAAACGTCTTCACCTTCACTAAATCAGCAAAGATAAAACAGGCAAAACAACAACAACAAAAAAAAACACAGATCTACACCTTCACCAGAACAAAAATAAAACAGACAACAGCAACTTTTTACAAGAGTTGGGACAGTCAGGATGCTCATAGATTGCTGGGAATTCTGGGCGTAACCATTTGAGAGCAGTTTCTTACAGTGACACCCCCTGGAGCTCACTTGGTATAGCCCAGGCTGGCTACATATTTACCTAGAGAAACAAAATTCTGGGTCCATAGCAAGACTTGTAGAAAAGAGTTAACTGCAGCCTTGGTCATTACAAAACAAGACAACCCAGAGGTCCACGAACAGCGGGCAGGCTTTGGTAGGTCACAGTGACAATTACCTACAAACAAGGAACAAACTGGGTGGGTTTCAAAAACACTGCTGAGGAGAAAAGCTAGACCCCAAAGTTTAGTTTCCAATTCTGTCAAGTTGCAAAACAATCAGTGGGTTCAGGGTCTGACTGGGAAGGGGCCTGAGGGAACTTTCTAAAATGAGGGTTTGCTGTGGTTTGGATGTAAAATGCAGCCCCCACCCCAACAGGCTCATGTGTTTGAACACTTTGTCCCCAGCTGGTGGTACTGGTTGAGAAGGTTGAGAAAACTTCAGAAGGTGGAGCCAGCCTCACTGGAGGAAGTGGGTCACTGGGGGGTTGGCAGCCTTGAGGCTTTATAGCCTGGCCCCACTTCCTTATTTACTCTGCTTCCTGAGTGTGGCTGCACTGTGACTGCCCAGCCTCCTGCTCCTGCCTTACCTGCTGTGGTGGACAGTGTCCCTCTGAAACTATATGTTAAAATAAACATTTTTCCCTTAAGTGGCTTTTGTCAGAGTATTTTATCACAGCAACAGGAAAGAAACTAAGATGGGAAAATTCCATATGTCTGTTTTGTTGTGATAGATAGGTTAGAGTAGCCCAGGCTGGGCTTGAAATCCTGATCCTCCTGCCTCCACCTCCCAAATTCTGGGATTATAGGTTTGATTTGTGTGCACGCAAATAGGCACGTGCCTACCTACCAAGTTACACCAAGCCCAAGTGATGCTTAATTTTATGTATGTACTTGTCTGGGCTATAGGGTGCCCAGGTATTTGATTAAACATGCTGGGTGTGTCTTTGACATTTCAGGATGAGAGCAGCATTTGAATGGTTGGACTGAATAAGACGGCTGTGCTTCCTAGTTTGGGAGACCCTCACCCAGATCATTGAAGGCCTACACTGCACAAAAAGGTTGACGGAGAAGTGAACATTCTGCCTGCCTGGCTTGCAGCTGAACACGACTCTTCTATCTTCAGACTTGGGTTCAAACCGGAATTTACACCACTGAGTCTTCCTAGGCTGTCACTTGCACTGGAGAATGAAGGAAATGTGTCCTCATTTCACAGAAACAAGCTCAGAAAGTGACTTGCCTGCTTGACTCAGGCAGTATCTCACACCTCCCTCCCACTAGATCCCGGGGTTTCCTCTAAGACAGTTGAAAAAACTCTGGTGATCAGTCAACAAAGTGCTTTTTGCATTCTGACCTCATCTGACTCCCACAAGCACCCCTAGCATACATTACACAGCAAGTATTAAAATATGCTGGTTTGCTGGGTGTGGTGGTGTATTCGGGAGGCAGAGGCAGGCGGATCTCTGTGAGTTCAAGGCCAGCCTGGTTTACACAGTGAGTTTCAGGACAGCTGGGGCTACAGGGAGACCCTGTCTCAAAAAGACCTAAATAAACTAATTAATTAATTAATTGAATAAATAAATTAATTAAATAAATAAAACACGCTGGCTTAAGACAGGAAGTAGCGGTCAAGGGCCCTCTGAGATGAGCTTCCCACACAGTGATATCAGTTGAGCCTTCTGCCTCCATCCTTCACTTTTAGTCCTGGAAAGGTCCTGTTGATTTTGCCTTGGCCTTCTCTTCCTGCTCTGCCCTCTTGACCTACCCATCAGCCTCCCTGGAGGCATGTGAGATTCCTTTTCTAGGATTATTATGCCTGTGAAAGACTTCCTCTTGTACTGCTGGCTAAAAAGGTGTAAATGAGGGGCTGCCCTTGCCACCCTTCCTACTTGGAGCACCTAGCTGAGCTTGAAGCCAGTGCCCTGAGATGGACAGATGGAGAAATAAAACTTTCTTGGTATCTGGTCTCCTAGATCCAGCCATTCCTGAATCCCTTGACCAGTTATTTGAGCTAATATATTCCACTTTGGCTATAATGGTTTTATTTGGGTTTGACTTGCAACCAAGAGTTCTAACCCTCAGATGTCTTCAGCTGCTATTAGACGCTGCTTTCCATGTCTGTGTCCCTCCATCCACAGCAAACCAACGCCACTTACTTCGTGATTTCCTCTAGGGAAGCATCTCCAGCAGCAAAGCAAGGCCAGCATCTCCACTAGGAAAGAGAGGATCTCGAAGAGCAAGGTGTAGGGGTTCAGGGGGGACATATCCATCAGGACATTCTGTTCTGGGGTCATGGAATGGTGGCTGCCATTACTCTTAGGTGGCCTCAGATGTTCCCCATCAGCCTCCAGGTCCCACTTCCAGCTCTGACTGCCCTGGGCTCACCCCTGCTCACCCACAGAGCAGAAGAAGCGCTTGGTATCTGTCATCACAGCCAGGAAGTCTTTGAAGTCCACGTGACCATCACCTGCAGAGGCAGAGGGGCAGTGGGGTGGCTAGGGGCCTTCTGAAGGAGGCCCAGGCACTGCAGCCCCAGATGGCTGGGGCTGATTACAACAGTAATGCTGAATCAGTGCAGAAAAACGTGGAAAGGGGAAGTGGGAAGCTAGAATCTCCTGACTTGGAAGCTATTGGAACAGGGACAGGGCATGTGGCACAGTTGGTAGCATGCTTGTCTAGCATACACAAAGCACTGGCTTCCATCCCCAGCACCGCATAAACCAGGGGAGGAAGCACATGCCAGTAATCCCAGTTTTTGGTAGGTGGAGACAGGAGGATCTGGAGTTCAAGGTCATCCTTAGCTACATAGCCAGTTCCAGGCCAGCCTGAGCTACCTGTGTAGGAATATAAGAACTTACTGAACCTTTGCATTCTTGAGAGAGGACTGTGGGTCTGAAACCCAGGTCCACTACTTTTTATTCATGTGACCCCAGGAAGCTCTAGTTTTCTCATCTGTAGAATGAGGACAATCCTAGCATGCATCTCATGGGAGATGAACTGCAGCAAAATGCCCGAAACAGGGCTGTGTGCATGGTTGCATGCCCATTAAAAGCTAGCAGCTTCTTGCCAAGTGTCAATCACTGCATGTAACTACGTACCTGCAAGATTCCCACCTCGGCTTCAAGGCCCTAGCATCCACCAGACACCTGTCTACAGCCTCACCTCATCCCAAGCTCCACGTCTCTCAGCAGGTCACATTCTTCCCTGCTCAGGGTCTTTGCACTGTTCCCTGTTCACAGATACCACCCCCTGCACCTCCTACCCGTTACACGCTTCCTCAGAAGTTCAAACATTTTTTAAAATTACATTTATGTGTGTATAATGATGCAATATGCATGCTGTATTATCCATGTGGAGGTCAGAGGACATCTTACAAGAGTCAGTTCTCTCCTTCCACCATGTGGGTCCCAGGGATCAAACCCAGGTTGTCAAGCTTGGTGACAAGCTCTCATCTGCCCTTCCTCAGAGGTTCACACCAGGCCATATCAGAGCCCTCACCAAACTCTCCTACGATCCCTGTATTTCCTCCATACACAGGCAACATCTGAAACTTAATGGAGGTTCTGAGAGACAACTGCACGTTTTGTTCTGCAACATGTCCCAAGGCTCAGCACGTGTTCTCTGACCTGCTTGATAGTGAACTGGATGATATCCAATCCTTAAATAAAGCACATGTGTGGGAATGTTAGGTGTCTCAGCCCCAGTCACAGATGGAGTGAGGTTCCAAGAAAAGAAGGCCCTTGCCCAGGCTTACATGACAGCAGAACTGGGCCAGCTCTGTTCTTTTTACCATGGTGCTAGGGTTGAAGCCTGGGGCCTTTGGCTTCATAGATCAACAGTCCACAGCTTAGCCCATGAGGTCAGTCCTTGATGTGTGAGGATTCACACCTGTGCAGTGACAGAACAGTTGTGGCATCCAGTGGTCAAGCCCTAGGGTCCTGCACGGTTCCATCTTTCCGTGTGTCTAGCCATACCCTGCCATGTATGAGCACCTCACACTCACTTCTCTCATATCATTTCTGTGCCCAGAAAGCTCCTTCTTCCTTCTCCCTTTGCCTGACTCCTGCTTAAACTGGCACCAATGGCTTGAGCTCACCTCCTCCAGGAAGCCTTCCTTCCTGACCCCTTCTCTTGAACCACTGTAACTATTTCCATTGGTGTTGTTTAACCTCTGTGCGGACCCTTTCCCTAGGGTAGTAACTGTCTGAGTCTCTTGAGGGCCTACACATCTCTATCCTTAGTGCCTTCCACAGGAACTCCCAGGGCCTGTGCCCCATGCTTTGCCTCACTCATCTCATTTCATCTTACGGAGCCTGATGAGTTATCAGCTCCATTTTACCAGAAGGGAAACTGAGGCTTAACACACTTCATTCAGTGACTTATCCAAAGCTATACGGCTAGTAAAGTGTGCAGGTTATGAAAGAATGCTTGATGAAAGAGCGCCCAAGGGGAAGGGACCCTGAGACGCCTATACCACTGGGCAGAGGTAGGTCCCAGTCATCTCTGGGTCCCCAGACAGTGGCACTTGGGTTGCTCAGGGAGTTATAGAATATGTGGGACCCACTGCAGAAGGAAAATGCAGACAGAGCTGGGTTCCAACATGGCTGAGATGAGAGTGTGTGGCCTGTAATTGCAGAGCTGGGAGCCAAGCAAAGAGTCTTCCAGTGAGGAGCTCCGCATGTCTGAACAGGCCTCACGCAGATGCAGTCCCTGCCTGGGACTCAGGAGAAACCTCCCCACTCACCATTGACATCAGCGCTCATGGGGGCCTCCTCCACCTGGGCTGGTGTCAGGGAGAAGCCGATGAGGAGCAGGATGTTCTTCAGGCTCCTCGCATCCACCTCACCAGGGCCATTGAAGATCTCAAAGTAACTGCGAAGGCTGTCAGGGGAGGGCACAGTTACTAGGGTGGGATATTTCTGCATTTCTTTGTTTTAATGTGGTGTGTGTGTGTGTGTGTGTGTGTGTGTGTGTGTGTAAAGATGCACACACACATGTGGAGGCCAGAAGAGGATGTCAGGTGTCCTGTTCCACAAACCTGAAACTTGCCATTTCAGCTGGTTGACTGGCCCATGAGGTCCTGGGATCTGCCTGTCTCCACATCCCAGTGCTGGGGGTATAGGTAAGTGTGGCTTTTAATGTGGGTGCCATTAAATGCCTGACTTTTAATGTGGGTACCAGGGATTCAAACTCAGGTCCTCAGGCTTGCTCAGCAAGCACTCTTACTCACTGAGTCATCTCCCAAGCACCTCCTCCTTTTAAAAAAAGTATTTATTAGCCACTCACTCCTCTAATCCCAGCACTCAGGAGGCAGAGGCAGGAGGATCTCTGTGAGTTTGAGGCCAGCCTGGTCTACATAGTGAGTTCCAGGACAGCTGGGGCTACAGGGAGACCCTGTCTCAAAAAGACCAAAAAAAAAAAAAAGTATTTATTTTTATTTTGTGTGTGAGTGTTTTGCCTGCATACATGTAAGTGCACCCGTGTCATGCAGTGCTTGCAGAGGCCAGAGAGGGCATCAGATCCCCTGGAACTAGAGTTACAGGCTGTTGTTAGCTGCCATGTGGGTGCTGGGAACTGAACTCAGGTCCTCTGCAAGAGAAGCCAGTGCTCTTAACTACTGAGCCATCTCTCTATCCTCCCTCCCCCTTTTTTGATACAGGTTTCGTATAGCCCAGGCTGGCCTCAATTCCCTGTGTAGTTAAGGATGACCTTGAACTTTTGATTCTCCTCCTGCCTCCATTTTTCAAGTGCTGGGATTAAGTGCCTGGTTTATGTGGTGCTGGGGATCAAACCCAGAGCTCTGTGCGTGCTAGGCACTCTACCAACTGATCTGTACCCCCAGTGGGGGTGTTTCCTCCAGGCATTCTCCCCAGCACCCTCTAGGTGAAGAGACAAAGCAATTCAAAGAGCAGGGAGCTCCCTGCTCTCCCTGTCCTTGGAGCTCCCAGACCAGGCCAGGGTTTCAGCATGTCAGGAGGTGAGCTCCTTAGCAGCCCCCAGAGCAAGTAGTAGAGTCCTTGTTAAAGCACTTTGGTCCATGCCAGGCTCTGGGCTAAGTTCCTGATAGTCAAGATCTCATTCAAGGACTGGAGAAATGGTTCTCCAGTGGTTAAGAGCATTGGCTGCTGTTGTAGAGGACCTGGGTTTGGTTCCCAGCACACACATGGTGGGTAACAACCATCCCTAATTCCAGTTCCAGGGGATCTGATGCCCTCTCCTGGCCTCTACAGGCATGGCACACACATAGTACACCTATAATATGCAAGTAAAATACACATAAAATAAATTTGAGCTGGAGAGATGGCTCAGTGGTTAAGAGCACTGACTGCTCTTGCAGAGGACCCAGGTTCGATTCCCAGCACCCACATGGCAGCTACGAACCATCCTTAACTCCAGTTCCAGGGGAATCCGAAGCCCTCTTCTGACCTCTGCGGCATTGCACGACATGGGTGCACTCACATACATGCAGACAATATACTTATACACTTAAAAAATAAATTAAATTCTTTTTTAAATTTTAATTTATTATTTTTATTTTATTTGTATGTGTGTATTGCCTGCATGTAGGTAAGTGCACCCGTGTCATGCAATGCCCGTGGACGTAACTGGAGTTACACGGATCCCCTGGAACTGGAGTTACAGACAGAGTTGTTAGTTGACATGTGTTTTTGGAATGGAACTTGGGTTTTTTTTGTCTTTTTGAGACAGGGTCTTCTTGTAGCCCCAGCTGTCCTAGAACTCACTATGTAGACCAGGCTGGCCTCGAACTCACAAAGATCCACCTGCTTCTGCCTCCCAAGTGCTGAGATTAAAGGCGTGTACAACCACGCCCGGCTCAACCAGTGTTCTTAACAGCTGAGCCATCTCTCCAGCTCCTAAAAATTTTTTTAAAAAGATCTTCTCCATCTCATGGGAGGAGAATGCTCGCTCCCTTTGTAAAGATGGAAAAACTGAGGCTCAGAGGTGAGGTGACCAGACAGGTCTTTATGTCTGCAGAGATGTGGCCTATAGCTGAGCCTCTGTGTCCAGGACCAGAGCAGAGAACAGGAAGGATGCTGGGAAAGGCCCAGAACAACACCCACCAGCTCATAAAAAACCCTGCACAACTGTCACATAATTCGGTCGGTTTGCTCAATCCTCCAAAACCCAGTCCAGAGCCTGGCAGTGGTTCTACCATTGAACAATCTGGGTGGCTAGTATGGGCTGGACTGTGTCCCATCCCCAACTCATCTGTGGAAGCCCCAACCCTGAAGTCTTCAGAGTGTGACTATATTTGGAGTGAGGACCTCTAGGAAACTAGTTAAGTTGAAAAGAGACCTTTAGGGTGGCTCTAATCCAATCTGACTGGTGTCTTTACCAGGTAAAGGAAATTTGGGTGTACAAGAGTCCAGGGATCGAGGACTGGAGAGATGGCTCAGTGATCAAGAGCACTGACTGCTCTTGCAGATGACGTGGGTTCAGTTCCCAGCACCCACATGTTGGCTAACAATCATCAGTAACTACAGTTCCGGGGGATCCAATGCCTTCTTCTGGCTTCCAAAGGCTTTGCACAACACAGGTGCACTTACATATGGGTAGACAATACACTCATACACATAAGATAAAATTATAAAAATAGGGGCTGAAGCCGGTGTGGTGGTGCATGCCTTTAATCCCAGCACTTGGGAGGCAGAGGCAGGCAGATCTCTGTAAGTTCAAGGCCAGCTTGGTCTACATAGTGAGTTCCAGGCCAGTTGGGGCTACAGAGAGACCTGTCTCAAATAAAAAATAAAAAATAAGGGCTGGAGAGATGGCTTGGTGGTCAAGAGCACTGACTGCTCTTGCAGAGGACCCAGGTTCAATTCCCAGCACCCACATGGCGGCTACAGACCGTCCTTAACTCCAGGGGAATCCGAAGTCCTCTTCTGATCTCCGAGGCACTGCACAACCCGGGTGCACTCACATGCAGGCAATACACTCATACACATAAAATAAAATTTTTAAAAATTATAAAAATAGGGCCAGGCCTGGTGGCACACCCCTTTAGTCCCAGCACTCAGTAGGCAGAGGCAGGTGGATCTCTGTGAGTTCAAAGCCAGCCTGGTCTACATAGTGAGTTCCAGGACAGTTGGGGCTACAGGGAGACCCTGTCTCAAAAAAGACCAAAAAATATATAAAAATAAAAATAAATACATCAAGAGCACAGGTGACTGTGGAAGACACAAGGAGAAGATAGCACCTCCAAACCAGGGAGAGAGGTCTCAGGAGAAACCAGCCCAGCTAGAATCTTGAACTTGGGTTCTAGCCTCCAGAACTGTAAGAAAATAAACGTCTACTATTTCAGCTCCCTCACCCCCATGGTTAGAGAATTTAAATGCCAAATGGAATAAGCTTCAAGGATCAGGCCACAGAATCCTGTGAGAGCATTCTGGGAAGGCTGAGGAACGGGGCCAAGGACAGACATTTATTCATCTAGGGTCAGAAAAACATAATAGACGGGACAGAGCCCTGGACAGAGTGGGCTTGAGGGCTGTGGCCCACCTACCTTTCTGTGTCTTAAACTAAGTGCACATGACCCCCTTGGGGCCACTGCATACCTTGGTGGGACAGTGGGTCAACAGGGCAGTGGTATGAGAGACTCACCTTCCTCCTGCTTCAGGGTGAGGTGCTCTGCAGACTGCTCCTCCCAGTTCTGATACAGCTTGAAGAAGCAAGCCACACTCTTCCGGCTCTGGCCTGCAGGGGACAATGGGCCCAGGATAGCATGTAGCCACCTCCTGCCTGCCTGGCCTGCTGTTACCCCTGTCAAGGCCACCCATGGGGAGAGGAGAGGAGGCCTGGACAACAGAGGTTAGGGGAACTTCCCTGAGGGGGCTCTGTGGTGGACAGAAGAGTGGTAAGAAGAGGCAGACCCAAAGGAGTGAGGCAGGGGAGCTACAGGAACTGAGCCGCCTCTGGGGGCTGGGAGTGCAGCTCAGGGGTAGAGCACATGCTTAGTATGTGCCAAGCCCTGGCTTCTACCCCCAGCACCAGAAAGAAGGAAGGCAGGGAGGGAGGAAGAAGGAGGAGGAAGGAAGGAAGAGGTGGGAAGGAGGAGGACCTGGGGAATACCAGGATCCACACTGGAGGCAGCCTGTGAGTGTGGGGCCCTGTCAGGCGGTGGGCTGGTGGAAGTGGCTCCAGAGTATGGAGAGAGATGCCAGGGCCCACCCTGGAGACAGGAGGCAGGCTAGTGGAGGAGGCGCCTACCGCGCTTTGGTGTAGCCCAGGCTTCTCTCATTCTGGGTCAAGGGCTCTGGCCATCTTCAGCTCAGGTCCTGGGTAGGGACTGACAAGACTGAGCCTTGGAGTCCCACAGGGGCCAGGGCTGGCCCAGGGGCCGGCAGCCTGGTCCACAGCAGGGCCGAAGCTGCAGCTGGGGTAGGGTACTCCAGCAGGGTCAGAGGCGAGGTTGCAACTGAGTTGTTGACAGGGCCTGAGGTGGACATGGAAGTCAGGGTCCTGGGACACCTTGGGGCTGTCAGGGTCTGCCCCTTCAAAGTCCTCCGATGGGTGGCTTCCTCCTGCTCTTCCACCTCTAGTAAGCACTTCATGAAGCCCTGCCAACCATTGCCAGGGCTCTGGGTAGCTGTGGCCTCCTGCAGCTGTTTCTGTGATTGGTCCAGCTCCCTCCTCTTGGCAATGTCCCTCTCCTCCCAAGGGCAGGGGAGGGCATCTGGGAGGTCTCCAGCCAGCCAGACTCTCCTAGAGAGCTTCTTGCCTCTCACTCTCTGGGGATGCTCAAACTGTCCTTTTTTCTCCAAGGCCCTGGAGGAGGTACCCCCAAATCTCTATGTACCACTCCATACCCCCATCCAGTATCCTGGCCCATAAGTGACCCCGACCCACCACTTCCCACCTGGGAGCTGTGGTCTGCAATGAGTCAGTTTCTTCCGTTACAGCTTACACAGCCTGCAGTGACCTCGCCTCCCTTCTGCCTGGTTTTTGCCTCTTCTCAGTGTACCCAGCACATAATGGGCACTTAAATACTGTTTCTATTTCATTCTGCAAATCCAGCCACCCCTGCATCTGGTCCCCCACATCTCTGGGAGAGGCTATCTAGAGGCCAGCCCACCTGCTCCAGACCAGCCTTTTCTCCAAACTGAACGCCCAGGCCTTACCATGCACTATCTTCTGAAAGCATCTTTTTACTTTCTCCATCGATTTCTCCCTCAGCATCCCTTTTCGTGTGCTGAGGATCAAACCCAAGGCCTCACTGATGCAGTGACATCCTGCACCTCTGCGCTGCACGACAGCCCTCTCTTCCTTTTTTTTTTCCTTTTTGAGACAGGGTCTCTCTGTAGCCCGAGCTGGCCTGGAACTCACTATGTGGAACAGGCTGGCCTGGAAGTCACAGAGATCTGCCTGCCTCTGCCTCTTGAGTCCTGAGATTAAAGGCATGTGCCACCATACCTGGCTTCCTTCTTTTAAAAAACAAAAAACACAACAACAACAAAAAAACCACAGCAAACTCCCACACCACAGATTCTCCCAGCTATTGGCCAGTTCTCTGCTTCTGACAAAGAGCAAGGTTCCTTGGAAATATCCACTGTCCTGTCTCTATCTGCTCCCATCTCCCCAAGGCTTCCACCTGCCTCCCCAAAGCTGTAGCCAGATCTGCGCCCTGAGCAGACCTCTTGGTGGCATTAGATGCAGATGACAGCTCTATCTTCTGCGAACGCTTTCTACTCCGATGCTCCACCAAATCCTGCACAGTTCCTGACACAAGCTCCATTCTCAGATGCCATGGAAACTGGGTGGGGAAGGGTCCACCCTCAGATTATCTTCCTCCTTCCTGTCCACTTGTGCTCTTGAAGCCATCTGCCAGCCATGACTCACTCAGTTTTCCCCACATCTCCTCCTCTGGCCCTCAATTCCCTGTCCCTCCTAATGCCCTAAGTACCTGGCATGTCTGGGGTGCCCAGAGCAGAAGCACACAGACACCCTCGGCTCCTCCACCCTGCTTCTGTCAGGGCCACCCTCGTTCAATGACACCATCTCTTGACCAGTTGCCGTAGTCTCTGGCCCTTGAATCCCACCCAAGTTCAGTTCCCAGCCAGCTGTTCCAATCACAGAGTTCCAGCTCACATCACATCATCTATGTCCTTACCTAAAATGTGTTAGTAGCTTGGATTAAATTTAACATTGACTCCCAAACCTTCACCCTGGACTTTAGGATCTGGTGTACCATCCTCTGACCTCATCTCCCACCATCCACTCCTCCTCCCACCTTCCTGTATTTTGGGCTTCGGTGGGCAGGGCCTCCAGGTTCATCTCCATCAGGACCTGTTCTGCTCCTCTCCTAGGATTCAGCCCAGGCCGGGCCAGGTAGGGAGGACAAAAGGAGGGCACACACACACACACACACACACACACACACACACACGACACTTGTTTCTCCTGAATGCTCATCAACCTGGAGACGTACTTGGCATTATTCCCACCCATTCATTTATTCAATAAACTGATGGAAAAGCATCTAGTCTTCATGGGACACTGTTTTAGGCACAGAGTACTGAATTAACTGAGTGGCCACCTTCATGGATAACAAATAGGTTGTCAAATTAATATGATTGTGACAGGAGTAATACAAAGACAATAAAATAGGATCTGTGACAGGGTACCCAGGTCAATAGACTACTTGACATTGAGTGGCCAAAGGCTTTACTGAGAAAGTGACGTTTCAGTTGAATTAACCCAGGCAGTATCTAAGGGGAGAATTTCAGGCATTGGGGAATGGCGTGTGCAAAGGTCCCAAGGAGGAAATCAGCTCAGCACATCCATGGGATAGAAATCCATGAAGGAGCTAGACACAGAGTCCTGTGCATTTTGGTGAAGATTTGGGGTCTTTCAGGGGTTTTGTTAAGATTTCATTTATTTTAATATTATTGCTTATGTATATGAATGCTTTACCTGCATGGATGTAAGTGCACCACATGTGTGCCTGGCGCACAAGAAGGCCAGAAGAGGGCGTCAGATCCCCTGGAACTGGAGTTAAGGATGGATGTTAGCCACCATGTGGGTGCTGGAAACCGAACCCAGGTCCTCTGGAAGAGCAGTAAGTGCTCTTAACCACTGAGCCATCTTTCCAGCCCCTTGTTTTTGTTCACTGAGACAGGGTCTCACTATGTAGCCCTTGTGCCACCACCCTGGCCCAGATTTGGGGTCTTATTCTACAAGAATGAAGCCTGGACTGCGGTGGCAGGGGTTGGGAAAGGATGCATTCTGGACTGGCTTTGTAGGTAGAGCATGGAGGGACTGTTTTCGTACTGAGTGTGAAGGGACTGGCGAGATGAGAGGCATCAGAAGTGATTATGAGCTGATTGGCATGAATCTCTCTAGGTGGAAGGGAGGGATGGTTTGCTAAGCTGAAGACTGGGACAGATAGGAAGTGGGGAATACGAGGTTCTGCCCTGGCCTTGTTCAGTTGCCCGGTCTAGTAGCTGGATGTTAGAGCCTGGAATTTCAAGGCAAAGCCTGGTGTGGAGATTCAGGTTTGGGAGTCATGAGAGGAACTGGATGCAATCCTTCAGGGAAGGAGAGGGGAGTCACCTGAGCCTGGGGAGGACTGCATGGGGAAGGAGAGAGGAGACACCATGTCACAGCTTCATAGTAATTTTGCGGAGGGAGAGAGTTAGGGGGACACTTCCATGCCACAATTTGGGGAGTTGGTTCTGTCTTTCCACCATATGGGTCTCAGGTTGTCAGGATGGAACACAAGCTCTTTTACCCACTGAACCTCTGTGGTTTTTTTTTTAATTTTTTATTTATTTATTCTTATTTTATGTGTATGTGTGTATTGCCTGCAAGTAGGTAAGTGCACCCGTGTTGTGCAATGCCCTCGGAGGTCAGAAGAGGCTGAGATCCCCTGGAACTGGAGTTACAGATAGTTGTTAGCTGCCATGTGGGTGCTGGGATTTGAACTAGGGTTTCTTCAATAACAACCAGTGTTCTTAACCTCCGAGCCATCTCTCCAGCCCCCTCTCTGGGCTTTTAAAAAAATTGTATTTATTTATTTGTGTGAATTGTGTGTGCATATGAGAGCAGGCATGCATGTGCCACAGCACACATGTGGAGGCCAGAGAACAATTTAATGGGAGTTGGTTCTCTCCTACTATGAACTGACATTGTCAAGCCTGACAACCTGAGTTCAGTCCCCCAAGACTCACAGAGAGGAAGGAAAGAACTTCCATAGGTGTGCTGTGGAATGTGAAAATATACACAATAAATAAGTAATAAATATAATTTAAATTAAAAAAAATAAAAACACATGTACATGTGTAACATGGTCACACAGTTTTACACTCTGACCTTCCCCAATGTGACTTAAAATACCTTCCCGCTGGGCGTGGTGGCGCACGCCTTTAATCCCAGCACTTGGGAGGCAGAGGCAGGCGGATCTCTGAGTTCGAGGCCAGCCTGGTCTATATAGCGAGTTCTAGGACAGCTGGGGCTACAGGGAGACCCTGTCACAAAAAGACAAAAAAATAAAAATAAAAATACCTTCCCCATTTCTGTCTCCACCCACCACACACATCCCCATCCCCACTACTTACTAGTGGAGGAAGAGGCTTTGGCACTTTACCAATTGAGCTATTTCCCCGGACATACCTTGAGTGGTACTTAGATCAAGAGCCACCTCTGGGAACAGGCAGCAGGGCAAGGGGGCCCTGGAGGATGGCTTACCTCTCTTTGGGTGTTCAAGGTCCTGGCATGGATGGCAAAGGGGGGGGACCACCTTTTCTGCTGTTGCCATGGGTGGCGATGGCACTGCCTTCGGAGAGCTGTCCTCATGTGCCCCTGGGCAGGGCTCTGGCAAAACCTCCTGTGGCCTGTCCTGTAGGAGGCCTGCCTCACTGGGGGTATCATCCCCCGGTGGCTCTTCCCAGCTGTGCACGGTGCATGGCTTTTCCAAATCATGATCTGTGCTTCCCTCAGTGAGGGGAATGAGAGTCTGGGAAAGCAAGAAGATGTCTTCTGAGGAAGAACCATCCTTTGACATCCCGAGGGGTGTTTCAGAGGAAAGCACTTTACATGCTCCTCCAATGGGGGACTTACACTAACTGGTTTCCAAATGTATTAGAAATCAACTATAATCAAGATAGTGTGGTGTTAGAATAAGCATAGAGAAATGAATGGGACAAAACAGGACTGTGGGAGTAGCTTAGTGGAAGAGTGTTCACCAAGCTTCAATGGAGACCTCAATTCAATCTCTAGTGCTGAAGGGGGAGGGAGTTGATTCTAGACTTTGACTCACACAGATATGGTCAATTGCAAAAATGAAAATTCATTGGAAAAAAAAGGTAGATTTTAAGGAATGATGCTGGAATAATTGAACAGCCACATTGAAAAAACAAACAAAAACCAACAACAAAAACCTTAATCCCAAACTCACACCACATAAAAAAAACCTAACTCAAAATGGAGGCTAAACTTAAACATCAAATCTTAGGGGCTGGAGAGATGGCTCAGTGGCTATGAGCACTTACTTCAGCTTTTGCAGAGGATCTGGGCTTAGTTTCCAGCACCCATACCAGGCAACTCACAACTGCCTGTAACTCCAGCTCCAGGACATCTAATGCCCCTGGCCACTGAGGACACCCGCACTTACATGTGCGCACCCCCCCCACACACATATACACATACACATTCTGATAGACACAGTAAGAAATGATCATCAGAGTAAGCATGCTAAGGAAAAGAAGCCATTCAAACAGAATGTACACCAGGGCTGGAGAGATGGCTCAGCAGCTAAGAGCGCATACTGCTCTTGCAGAGGACCTGGATTTGGGTTGGGTCTTAGCACCCATAGGTGGCTTACAACCACCTGTAACTCTAGTTCCAGCTCTTCTGAGGGTACCTGCACATACTGACATATTCTCTCTCCCTCTCTCTCTCTCTCTCTCTCCCCCTCCCCCCCCACACAAATAAAAACCTTTATAAAAATATTCACCATTTATGCAAACTCCAGCCAATCTATAGTGATTATCAGCATTGCTTGGGGGTGGGAGATCAGTAAAAGCAACGGGGAAGGGTGTAGGGATGGGGTTGGAAAGTTGTAGACGTCTGTTTTCTTTAAAAAAATTCTTTTTTTGCCAGGTGTAGTGGCACATGTCTTTAATACCAGCACTCAGGAGGCAGAAGAAGGTGGATCTCTGTGAGATCAGGGTAGGCCTGGTCTGCATAATGAGTTGCAGGCCAGTGGGTCTACAAGAGACCCTGTCTCAAAAAACGAGAGAGAAAGAGAGAGAGAGAGAGAGAGAGAGAGAGAGAGAGAGAGAGAGAGAGAGAAATATGATTTTAATCCCAACACTCAGGAGGCAGAGGCAGGCAGATCCCTGTGAGTTCAAGGCCAGCCTGGTCTACATAGGGAGTTCCAGGCCAGTCAGGGATATATAGTGAGACCTTGCCAAAGAAGGAGGAGGAGGAAAAGGGAGGGGAGCAGGACGGGGAGGGGACAGGGAGGGAACGGGGACGGGGAGGTGGGGAGGAGGACATTGAAGACGATGATCTGGGGGGAGGATTCTTCACTATGAAGAAAACTAAGAATGTTGTGCTGGATTGAATAAGAAATGTCATCCTCCATAGGCTCAAATATTTGAACACTTGGTCCCCAGTTAGTGGCACTATTTGTGGAGGTTTAGGAGGTGTGGCCCTGCTGGAGAAGCTATGGAGGGGCGACTTTGAGAATTTACAGCCTTGTCCCACTTTCCCCCCTCTCTGCTTCCTGTGTTGATTGAAGATGTGAGCTTTCAGCTTTCCACTGCCACTGCCTCCTGCCACGCCTCCCTGCCATGATGGACTCTTATGCCTCTGGAACCGTAAGCCCAATAAACTCTTCCCTTTATAAATTGTCTTGGTGTTTTATCGCAGCAACAGAAAAGTCACTAATACCGTTGTGCTGAGCTATGTTTCAACATTTCTTTGTAAATGAATGTAGAAATAAGAAAAAATAAAAGAAATGAAATGATGTTCTAGTTAAATAAGCTCTGTAAAGTCTACATGCCTTCCAAAGGCTCAACCGCTTCTAGCACATTCTGGAGCACAGATGCCTATATCCACTTGCTTAAACCCAATGCATCCCAGCACTGTCTGTGCACAGAACTCTCACCCTGCCCTGCCACCAGCACCCAGGACACATAGGCTTCTTGGAACCAAGACTTAAAGAAAACTTTCATGAGGGCTCCTGGAGTAGCCCAGTGACACGCATAGACCGTCTGCCAGCTCCAGGGCACAGAGAGGAGCACATAACATGCACATCTGTATTCGGGGGAAAGGGA